TTGGCCTTCGGGTTAATCCCGGTACTAATAATAACAGCTATAATAAGCCCATAGATCCCGAGCACTCCCGCCATAACCACCGGAACGATCGATTTCATCACGAGCTCCGGCCGCATCACTCCCATGGAGGCCACGCCCACACCGCTCTTGGCCGTCCCATAGGCGGCGCCCATGCCTGCGAAATCATGAAAATTAAGAATCGAAAGATCAGAATTTGAGAAAATTGAACGAAATTGAAAAACTTTGAGGGGAAAAAAAGAGATTGAAAAGCGAGGGGGATAGGAGTTTTACAGGAGAAGACGAGGGCTGCGGCGGCGCCGAGGAAGCCGAAGAAGGGAGCGGTTTCGTCGCCGCTGAAGGTAGAAGAAGCCATGTATCGCTGTGTGTGTGAGTGGGGGTGTATGGTTGCGGGGATTGGGTGGCGTGAGCGAATCTGGGGGTTTGGATGAAGACGAAGAAGCTCTGTTTTTAGTAGTTCAATAATGAATCGAATTCTGTCTTTGGGGATTTGAGAGAGAGAGAGAGTTGAATCGGGGAGGACGGTTGATTTTGATTTGAGCGGCTCGCGGCTCGCGGCTCGCGGTAAATTGTCGTTGCAAGTTTGCAACTAATCCAAAGAAGGATAAATGGGAGGTCTGGTTCAAGGGTCCGAGTTGGTGTGTCTGTTTTACTCTAGAGTGAAGTTCCTTTTAGGGGTGTACTCATTTGGAATTTTGATGGATTTTAATTCTTTTAATGAATTTAGGGGTATTCAATCAGAATTTTAAGTGATTCTCTGAAATTCAATGTGTATTCAATCAGAATTTTAAGATAGTTTATTAAAATCCTTAAAAATCCGGGTGTATTCAATTAGAATTTTAAAGAAGTTTATAACATTCAGATGTATTCAATTAGAATTTAAATTTAAGGAATTTAGAAGAGTTGAGGAATTAGAGAAAATTTGAGAGATTTTGTAGTGTATTTTAAGCATTCATAAATCTCACCTCTCCCCAAGAGATTTCTAGAGAATTAAATCAAACTTTTACATGAAATCTCTACAAATCAGTTAAACTCCATAAAAATTCTTAGATTTATAAATCCATTAAAATATCTCAAATTCCCAATTGAATAGTCTATCTATGCTCAGAAGTGATGGATAACTGCGACTTGCCATCAGCTATTCCCTTTAAAATAAAAAAGAAGAATAAAAAAGAAGAATAATAATAATAGTAGGGAGATCTAATTTTTAAATCAAATTTGCAAATCAAATTATGTGTCACTAATAAGAGATCAGCATATTGATGGACACTTAATTAATAAATCTACAATCACATCGTTTGGTTTGCAATTTGATTTAAAACATTTGGTCTCCCTAACATTATCCTTCAAAAAAAGTTGAATTACATTAATATTTTGAAATTTTTAATAAATTTATTAGCGAACGCCACACAACCTATGCGTGAGAAATATATTTTTTTTAAATATTGTTTTTTGTTGCAGTCATATTTAGAATATGAATGTGATTGTGTAAATCCTAGTAGATATTGGAATGTATCTTATAATCCTATTAGGAATAGATTACCTATTAAATATTGTAATCCTAAAGGAAAAGGTTTTTACCTATCCTACTACTGTAAATAAATGCACAATGGGGTGAATCAAACACACCTCACAATTAAATCATTCTCTCTTCTCTCTAAGTGTAGTCGGCCCCCCTCTCTCTCGAAACCCTAGATCGTTCAATCAATAGGCCTACAACACGTTATCAACACGCTCTTGCCAGAAACTGAGAAATTGACGCATCGTAGAAGGAAGGTATCATCCACCAAATTCAAAGGCTTATTTGTTTTCTGCTAATCAGGTACGCTTAAAATAAATTAGAAGCAAATTTAGGGTCTCCTAAACCCTAGGGGATTTCAACAAAAAAAAAACGGAATTGGACATAGTGCGGCACTCTCACCACACCATCACTGTGGAAGCAGCAACCAGGCCTCGACCTGGAATTAACCTCAACAGGGCTTAAAGCCCTAAGCCCAATCACTGCCTTGACCTGCGGCCATACAATCCAGCCCAGTTGGCTAGGATTTTTTCCCACGACCCACACTAGCCAGCCCACAAGGCTGGGCTTAGCTTTCGTCCCAAACCCACAGGCCAGCTTTCGTTGGACCTGACCCATGACCCCATGGGCCTAGACTTAAAACCCAGCTGCGGCTGGGGTTTCTCTCGCCCCCTTGTGGCCTGCAGACCACTCTCGAGGCCCTTTTGGGCCTTACCTTTTACTCAAGGCATCCAACCCAAGCTAAATTATTTTTGGGGCTATGTTTTCGTTCCTTTAATATTATTTAGCTTCTACAATCGACCCCGTATGGACCGATTTATTGAATTAATTAAAAGTGACTTGCAGTCCATTAATCTGATAATGAATCCAAAATTATTGATCTGAATATCACTTTTGGACATTAACAATTCAATAATTTATTTTTATACTTTGAACTGTAACATACTTTCGTAGTAATGAAGCTCTCGCACTTGAGTTCCCAAATAACCTCAAATCCATTATATTCAAATTAGTATATTGCATTCTGTGTTTCTTGTAAGAACCTCTCATTATGAACTAATTGTTCATAAAACTAAATTGAACCTGTAGTTTCAAATTTAGTGCCTTTGAAACCTGAAGTTTTCATTCAAAACATACCACATGAAACATGTAGTTTTCATGCATAAATTAAACCAATACATGTTTATAGAACTAGTATGTTCTACGATATATGTCTATGGCTTACTCGATTTCTCCGCTCTAGAAGTCTATGGAAGAAACTATCTGAAATGGGTTCAAGACGTGAATCTCCATCTGACTGCAAAGGGTATTAAAGTCACCATCGAGACTCCTATCACTGACAAACTCGTTGACGAATCTCATAAGGCTACTGCAATGATTTTCATTCGAATACACCACCACATTTGCACGACCAGGGTGACACTTAATCGTGCCATCATAATCGCGCCATCATAATCGCTAAGCAATTCTATCCACCTTCACTGGCGAAGATTAAGATCTCTCTGGGTGAAAAGATATTGAAGACTTTTATAATTTGTGAAAATCTTACATTTTTCTCCATAAAGATAATGTCTCCAAATCTTCAAGGCAAAAACAATGGCTACTAATTCAAGATCATGAGTAAGGTAATTCATCTCATGAGGCTTCAACTGTTGTGAATCATAAGCAATTACCCTACCATGCTACATCAACACACAACCCAGACCATGCAACGAAGCATCACTGTAAATCTCAATATTACCACTATCATCTGGAAGCACCAAAACAGGTGCATGAGTGAGACAATACTTTAGTTGCTGGAAACTCTGCTCACAATTGTTGTCCCACTCAAATTTAACATCCTTTCTAGTCAACCTTGTCAGTGGTAAGGCTATGACTGAAAAGTCTTTGACAAACCGTCGATAATAACCTGCTAGGCCAAGGAAACTCCGTACCTCGGTGATGGTTCGTAGCTCCTCCCAATTTTCAATGGTTGCTGCCTTTTGAGGGTCCACCTGAATACCTTGGGCTAAAATAACATGCTCCAAAAATGCTACTTGATCTAGCCAAAACTGGCACTTGCTAAATTTAGCATATAATTGGTGTTCCCTCAATTTCTTCAACACCAAAGTGAGATGTCGAACATGCTTTGTTTTAGACTTAGAGTACACCAAAATATCGTCAATAAAGACAATGACGAACTTGTCAAAGCAGTTTTAGGAACATCTTCACTTTTGATCTTTAGTTGATAATAAATAGACCTCAAATCAATCTTAGAAAACACGTAGCCGCCTCGAAGCTGATCAAATCTGTCATCTATACGCGGCAATGGATAACGGTTTTTAATTGTTACCCAATTTAACTGTCGATAGTCAATACATAGGCTCAAGGTCCCGTCTTTCTTTCATACAAATAAAACTAGAGCTCCCCAGGGTGAAGTAGATCTGATTCGGTTAGTTTCACTTTGCATAATTTCAACAATGAAACGATTCTACAAACTTTAGAGTTGTATTTATTCACAGACTTAAAGTCCTGGAAGCGAAGATGTTGCCAGTTGTGTCTTACTTCAGGCAAGTATATGTCTTTCTAATGATCAAAACGGTCAGCCAGAGTAAGCCAGATGGTGCGTGGGTCCTCATCTGCGAGTGCATCACTTAGTAGGAAATCTCAAGGACGAATTAATGCTTTATACGCTTGTCGTATCCCTCTTCTCACAGATTTAAGATCCACTGGAGTAAAGTTAGGGGTGGAAGATCGATGGGAAGGTTTACTTGCTAGTTTCCAGGTCAAACCAATTTTAATTGATCGTGTGCTTGAGGCTCAAATGAATGATGAGGAAACTCGGGAGTTAATTCAGGCAAGATCACATGGGAAAAAGAAAGATCTCAGGATTCGAGAAACTGATGGTATGCTTATGCAGGAGAAACGAATGTATGTGCCGAATAATGCAGAATTAAAGAAAGAAATTCTTGATAAAGCACATGTATCGGCATATGTGATGCATCCTAGGAGTACTAAGATGTATCATACCATTCAACCATTTTATTATTGGCCTGGTATGAAAAGAGAAATTGTTAAATATGTGAGTAGATGTGCAATTTGTCAACATGTCAAAGCCAAAAGGAAGAACCCTTTTGGACTAATGCAGCCACTTCCCATTCCACAATGGATATGGGAAGATATTACCATGGATTTCGTGTACAAGCTTCCCCGTATGTGAAATGGTTATGATGGTATTTGGGTGATAGTGGATCGACTTACTAAATCAGCACACTTCATTCCAATATAGGAAAAATATTCTTTAAGTCGATTAGCTGAGTTATGTATATCGAGGATTGTTAAAGACTACGGGGTTCCAGTTAGTATCATTTCTGATTGGGATTCTAGGTTCACTTTTAAGTTCTGGGTGGCATTTCAGAAGGCTCTTGGTTTGATACTACTTTATAGTATGGCATATCATCCACATACAAACGGACAATCTGAGATGACTATTCAGACGTTGGTGGATATGCTAAGAGCTTCTGTATTGCAGTTTGGCGACGCTTGGCATAAGCGTTTGGATTTGAATCACTCTAGCATTGGTATGTCACATTTTAAGGCACTCTATGGTAAGTCTTGTCGTACTCTTTTATGCTGGTCAGAGGTTGGTGAAAGAGTATCGGTGGGCCCTGAGATTGTAGACGCGACTACACAGAATATTCAGGTAATTAAATTTAACCTGAAAGCGGCCCAGGATCGACAAAAGAGTCTAGCGGACAAACATGCCACTGACAGAGTGTACAAAGTTGGTGATTGGGTATTTTTGAAGCTATCACCATGGAAAGGTGTAGTACGGTTCATGAAAAAGGGTAAGTTAAGTCCTAGATACATCGGATCGTACCAAATCACTGAACGAGTCAGTGAAGTTGCTTACAAGCTTGATTTACCTCCTGAATTATCTAAGGTGCACGATGTTTTTCATGTTTCTATGCTTCACCATTATGTCTCAGATCCATCGCATGTGATACCTCCTCAACCTTTGGAAATTAATCTAGATTTGAATTATGATGAGGAGCCGGTCACGATTTTGGATTGGAAGGATAAGGTTCTGAGGAACAAAACTGTGTGCTTAGTGAAAATTTTATGGAGGAACCATTCAGTGGAGGAAGCCACCTGGGAGACGGACGATCGTATGAGAGATGTGTATCCACGCTTATTTTATGGATATTAGTGATTGTTATGTTGTGTAAAATTTCGAGGATGAAATTTTCGTAAGGGAGGTAAGTTGTGACGACTCATCCCGAATTATATATTTATATATATATATATATATTTGATCCTCGAAAGCGTGGAAATGACGATTTTGCTCTGGAGCGATGTGTTACAAATGTATAAACGGACTAAGAAAATGGAAAAGGGCCAAGAAAATGGACCAATTACCTTATTTCCTATCTCTTGGGATCCAATTAAAACTGTAGGGTTGTTTAGGACCAAATTGGTGGCCCTAAGTTGTAGCCCAATAGAAATTATGGAAATTTAAAATTGCCTGATCCAGACAAGGTCACACACACATACACTACACGTGCACACCTTCCTACACCCTCTCTCTCGAACTTTTTACTCCGTTCGTACAACCGAGAGTTTTCATCTTCAAACTAAGCCTAAAAGCTACAGATCGAGCTTGATGTTTCCAGATTCTTACTCATCTCGAACACTAGAGTTTGGTGATACCTTGGTTTGGGTGTTTTGACTTCGAAAACCCGAGAATCCATAAACCCTGATGAGGAGCTAAACTGCCTCGAAGTGATCGTGGGATTTATCTAAGGATTTAAGACTCGTGGTAATCCTTACTCGACTCCTCTAGCATTATGGGACGATTTTGAAGGGGTTTGGACGTTGGGACACTCAAGTTTATCGAGTTGCAGTTTTAAAAGGACTATCGAGGGATTTTCAGACTAGTTTCTGTGAGTTTTAGGACTTCAAAGTGGTAAGAATGTGTTCTACTCGTTTAGAGCTTCATTTTGGTATAAATTTCATGAAATTTGGTTGAACAATGGTGAAGATATTGAGGTTTAAAGTTTTTCCAAAAACCAGTGTTACAAATGGCGGCCGGCGCCGGAATCCGGTGAACCATCAGAGAATAAAGGGAATATTCCGTCAATTTTGACGGAATATGCTAACGGCGTCAGGTAAATATAACGGTATATGTTATTATTTAACGTAATATTCCCTAACGCCGTTAAGGATTCCGTTAAACGTGCTTGTGTGTATGGCGGTGCCTTGGCCGGCGCGTGGGACATCGGAAATTTTTTCTAAAATATGAGGATGTTCGTGGGGTTGAGTAGGCCACGATGGTATATTTAAACACCCCAATTGAGCAACTTATGAGAAGTTATTGCATGGTTTTGATTATGTGCTTAAAAATAACATTAAAATAGTTGTTTCACATATAGGTGAGACGTTTCTAGAGGACGAGCGCAGTTAAGCGAGACTCAGGGGTTACGACCCTGCCACATATCAGTGAGTGGGCTTTTGATTTTCTATATACATATAAATATGCTTTACATTTTCCCAAAAATTGATTTAAATGGTTTTACGTTTAAATGCCATGTCAATTGCATTACATTTTCGATTATGCATTAGTATAGTTAGGTTTATTGATGCTTGACGCTGCGGACGCTCAGGTAAGCTTTAGGTGAGTATATATTGATGGTAGTGATTGTAGTGTGTATGATTATGTTGAGATGCATTTAGAGCTCATTATCCTACACCCTGGTGTTAGTGCTCCGCCCGAGGCTAAGGCCTAGCCTTCACATGATCGTTCACCTCCTGCACCACACGCTCACCTTGGATCCAAGGCAGGTGCCAGCCTGTCGTACATACCACATTAGGTGGTTCTAACTCGTAGGCGACTTGCGATACTTCGCATAGCCTTCACATGATCATAGCACTTGAACGTACTCATTTACACCCAGTCTGTCGTACAGACCACATTAGGTGGTTCCGACTCGTGTGCATGAACTAATAGGTGATCTATAGGCTCAGCCATACATGCCACGTTAGGTGACTCCAACTGGCATATCATTTTATATTGATTTATTTCACCTGGTTTACTTATTTCAGTGCTAAGATATTTGACATGGCATATACTTGATTTTCACTATTCTCGAGCATGATTTTATATACATAAGTACTATTACTTCTGGGAAATTATACGGATTTTATGGTGAGGGGTTAGTACTTTTAAAAAGAGAAATGGTTTTGAAAAGCTTTGTTTTTGCCCCACTCACACTTTTTGTTTTGTGCCCCTCCAAGTTCTAGGTAGACGTGCTTGTTGGTGACTTACGAGGAGTTGATGGCGATTCTGAAAGACTGTAATTAATGTAGGATTATCTCTCTGGTGCTGTATATTTAGTATTTGACCTGTTGGACTGCACTTAGGTTACCTATGCTCTGATTGTGTGTAATTACACATAAATTTCGTCACTCGCGCTTATATTTTTCTAGTGTAAATTAGTTAGCTTGGTTTTTTTTTTATTTACTCGCATTTTTATATCACTATCACTTCCGCACTACGCACATGGCTACGTCACTCTCACGTGACGGCTAGCACGCCTCAATTTAGGTCAAGGTGTGCCACCTCTGCTGCTATTCCATGTCATGCCACATAGGAAATGACATTTCATTTGGAAAACACTAGTGATGTATTTTTTAACTGTTATTGCTGATGTGGACTTTGGGTGACATGATTGTGAGGTTCAAAAAAAAAAATAGTAAAAATTTGTTTGTGCAAAATTACTTTAATGCCTATATTTTTTTATTTTTCTAATACTTTTTTCAGTTATGTATTAAAGGTTATATTTGTAATTTCATTGGGTTTTGGTTAACAAATGGAGTTGTTTGGATAAATTTTTATTTAATTAAAAAACAATTGATGAATTTTGATGGAGTTTAATTAGTTGTAGATATTTCAAAATTTTGAGTAAATTTCTTCAAATTCTCAAAGTAAATTTAACTAATTGTAGATATTTTATATAAAATTTTAGGGTAAATTACAAAAAACTACCTCAACTATTGGTGTCACGACACTTTTATACCTCATCTTTTAAAATTGACAATGTCATACCTCATCTTACGAATTTGTGCCAATGTTATACCTTCCGTTAGCTTGGCGTGAATTTCTCAGTTAAATGCTGACGTGGCTTGATTCATGACCCATTTTCTATTAAAAAATTATTAAAAACTAAAAAAAATCATTTAATATTTTTAAATATTAAAATAATAAAGAAAAGTTATTTAAAAAATAAAAATAAAAATAACCAACACTCCGTTCGTCCCTTCCCCCCTCTTTCTCTTATCCCCATCTTCATCTTCTTCCCCCTTCCTGCAACTGCAACCCAGAAAAAAAAAAAGAAAAAAAAAAACCAATTTGTCTTCCCCGCTCCCACCCCTCCCCACCCCATCTTCTCCCCGCACCCACTCTCTGCACCCACCCTACCTTCTGCACCCAACCTTGCACCCACTACCTGCAACCCAAAAAAAAAAAAAAAAAACCCAGATCCCGTTAAGGTGGAATCGGGAAACCTTCGTCAGGTCGATTCTGAAGGTTAAGAACCTGAGCGCGTAGAAAATGGGGGGAATGGGTGTGGAGGGAAGAGGGGGCGGACTAACTGGGCTGGGTTTCCTTTTTTTTTTCTTCTTTCTCTTCTTATTCTTCTTCTTCTTCTTCTTCAGGTTGGGTTGGGGGGGGGTAGGGGACGGACGAACTGGGTTTCCCTTTCTTTTTTCTTTTTGCTTCTTCTTCTTCCTCCTTCTTCTTCTTTCTGGGTTTGTTGGGGGGGGCGGGGGCGAACTGGGTTGAGTTGGGGTTTTTTTTTTCCTTCTTCTTCCTCTTCTTATTCATTTTGGGTTTATTGGGGGGGGGGACGAACTAGGTTGGGTTGGGGTTTTTTTTTTTCTTCCTTCTTCTTCTTCTTTATGGGTTGCAGGAAGATGGGGAAGAGAGAGGGGGGAGGGACGAACTGACCTGAGTTTTTTTTAATTTTTTAATTTACTTTTTTTATTATTTTAATATTTAAAAATATTAAATAATTTTTTTTTAGTTTTTAATAATTTTTTAATAGAAAGTGGGCTCCGAATCAAGCTACGTCAGCATTTAACTGAAAAATTCACGGCCAAGTAACGGAAGGTATAACATTGGCACAAATTCGTAACATGAGGTATGACATTGTCAATTTTAAAAGATGAGGTATGAAAGTGTCATGACACCAATAGTTGAGGTAGTTTTTTGTCATTTACCCAAAATTTTAATTACTTGTAGATACATTATTCTCTAATCTCTTTTAATTCTTTAATTTTATTAAATCTTTTAAAACCAATTCCCAATTGAATGTACCTGAATTCTAACTGAATACATTTGGACTTGGCATTTGGACATTTTTTTTTTTTTGTGTGGAAAAAAATTTATAGAAGAAGTTTATCTAAGACATCCACCAGAACTCTCAAAAGAAATCTACACAATTCTCAAAAGTCCATTTGAATTCTACAAATCGTATCAAATCTACCACCTAAAAAATCTTTTAAAACCTAAATCCTAATTTGACTACACATTCTCTAAACTTTTAGCGAATCACTTAAAACCCCGATTTAACACCCCTTAGTTTGTAAAATAAAAAAAAAAAAAAAAAAAAAAAAAAAACTCCCTCAAAATTCCAATTGAATACACTTAGGGCTAGTTTGGGATTGATGTGTTTTTTTAATAAATTGCTTATGCTATGCATTAAGAGTAATCAGATGCAAAAAAATAATGATCAACTGCAAAATAAAGCAGTTGAGCGTTTGATAAACTGTATTTTTAAAAGTGTTATGAGTATGAAAAACAATGTAAAAGTAGTGTCTAGAAGGATAAATAATGTCATTGTTTAAAACTAATGAGCTTATTATAGGAATTGAAATTATTCTAAAGGCTCAACTTCACTTTTTATTAAAGCAGCTTTTAAAAGCAAACTAAAAACTGCTTTTAAAAGTTGTTGTTTGGAGGCCATTATTTTTAAAATAAGCAGTATATTTTATTTCTACCAAACACATTTTTACTGCTTAACTTTAAAGTGAAGCAATTTTTGGCAAAAAAAAGCAATACCAAACTGGACCTTAGTCTCACAAAAACATGTTCCAAATAATTTGTGGCATTTTCTGAAGAGATGGACATTTGATTAGTACTGACTACTAAAT